TTTAAACGCTGAACTCTTTATACTGCAGTATTTAATTCATTCTTTTACCTAGCCCTGATTTTGTTAAAAATACCTCCCGTTTTATTTTTTTTTATTTTTTATTTTTTTACTTTCCCCCTTTTCATTTTGTATTCGTATTCGTATTCGCACACGGCGGCAAAGTGAATTTAATGAATTTTATATACGTATTTTTATTATTCTTCTTCTTTTTTTTTGTCTTGCTTTTTTTTTTTTAATTTCTATTCGATGAGAAAATATAAAAAGACTCGATAAGATTGAATTTCATCGCTATCGTTGTAAGTTTCATTTACTTTATTGAAAAGTAATATAAAATGTTTATTATGTGTGTGTGTGTGTTTGTGTATGTGTATGTTTGCTTGTGGAAAATATAATCGTAAAGAAAAAAAAAAAAGAAACTGATAGAACTTTAAATTCATAATGAAATTACATTCTTTAAAAAAAGCGTAGTCATAATAAAACGCTCGTAATTATTTACAGAAGGAGTTTCTCTTTGTGTGTCCGATGAAAAAATGATTCGTAAAAAATCTACGAAATTGAAAGTCGCGTTATTATTCGAAGTACAGTTTTTTTTTCTTTTTTTCTTTTTATATACATTTATTTCTTTTTTTTCTTCCTTTCTTTTCTCTTCTTTCATAATACTTTTGCAATAAAGCAGAGTAAAAAGTTGAGTTCTTTTTCATGTAAAATTTGTTAACTAAAAATCTCATGCAGTTTTATATTGAATGTTGCAATAAAAAATGAGAAGAAGAAGAAGAAGAAAAAAAAAGAAAATAAAATAGATCTACTTGTTCTCGTTTGAAATTGAAGGCAGACGAGTTGTGTCTGCTTTGATATATTTTTTTTTATTGAAACGAAGGGATAGTAGTAGGGTAGATGAATGTTATAGGTATTTCAAGAGAGGGAGAAGGGGGAGTTGGTAAAGGGATGAACAGAGGCAAACCACGAATGTATTAGATGAAACGAAGCAAGGATGCTGTTTCTGTTGCTGTTGCTGTTGCTGTTGCTGCTGCTGTTGCTACTCGGACTCGGTGTGGTATGGACCGAGTCAGCATCGGTTTACAAACCCAGCAATATTCGTAATTGCGCACGCTCTTTATCTTTCCCTTTGAGATATCCCCAAGCCAAGGGTATTTTCGTAATTATTTTCAGTTAGCACGCAAACGCACATTTATATATATATATATATATAGTATCTACACTACGTGATACACAGATATATAAATGCACCTATGCGAGTCACGTTTTGAAAAGAGCTCCTCAACAAGGAAGCAACGTTGATGTGTGTGTATAGTAGTAGACTTTGTTCAAATGACGAGGGTGCAAAACCACCTTCACGAGTCTTTTCTCAACTTTCTACGTTAATACGTACCATTCAATGTGTAATATACATATATATGAACATGCGTGTATTGCGAATACATTGAAAGACACATATGTGCGATCGCATTAACGAGGAGAGTTTAGAACCTTCGCGTTTAAACGAATAAGAGAAGAGTTCTTTTATTTTTCTTTCTTTTCATAAATTCTACCTAACGATTTTTATAAGGCATTACGGTTCAACGAATAGAAGAAAAGAATTAATTATTATTTAAATTTTAAAAAAGAAGAAAAGAAAAGAATGCATGTGTGTAATCTCTACGATAAAATTTTACTACGCGTTTAACAGAGATGGAACCTCGAAGAAGAAGATTTTAACATCGGTTGAAATGTGTTCTACACGTGTGCAACCACCACCGGATACAGTAGTCACAATTTAAGATGCAACTGAATATACGTTAGTCTAGTTAAAGTGCAATTGCATTCCCAAGCGCAATCGTAAGAGCAAATTATTCCTTTCTGTGCGATAACGCACTTACCAATTAAGTATGTATATGTATATATAACAAGCTAGGATAAATGCACTTGGAAATAATGTTTTTTTTATTTTTTTATTTCAAAACGATTAAATCGTTCGATTGGTATTTCGATAGATTAATTTTTTTTCTTTTTCACATTTTTACGAGCACATTTACGTTCTCTCATCGGTGTTGTAGACTTGAAAAAATAAAAGAGTTTCCGGGAAACGGGCTGGATAATCGACGCGTCCGCATCGGCGTCCGTGCGAAATCGAATCGATAGGTGATGGTGCTGTTGGTAATGGTAGTGGCAGTGGTGGTAGTAGTAGTATTAGTAGTAGCAGTGCTAATGGCGAATGGTGCCGGTGGATTGAAACGTACAAAATACAGTCGTAATCACGCGAATTTGGATGGTAGTTGGTGAGCAAATAATTGGCAGGTAGAGCAGCGAGCTAGTTCATTGGGATTGTTTCCGGCTCTGTGAATACTTCAGTGACCGGGGGTGCCACACGCTGGATTTCTAACCGCGTCGGCTTTCACGTTTTCGAATTTGAATGGTCGAATATCGAGAAAAGCTGTCTGTCTCGTACGATGAAAAGAAGGTTCGATAGTGTAAAATAGTGTTAGTAATCCGTGTTAGTCGACATTTGTTATTTTTTCTTTTGTTTTAGAAACACGTTGGAAATGTCTCTTGTTAAGCGAGTTCGATCAAAATCACAATTTCTAACACGTTCGTAATATTTCGAATATTTTAATAACAAAAAAGTGTCTCTCGATCTATCGATAATAATTTAAATTCTTAGGCATTGCTGAATGTTGCGAGAGGTTGTTTTTCTTTGTGGCAGGGTTTAACGAGAATTACGTGTAAACGATAAAACTACGATGTGTGATTATAATTTTTCTCAAAGAAATGATACACATATACTTAGATAATATTACTTTAATAATTATTAATAAAATTAGATATAATGTATTATAAAAGATGTTATCCGCAAAAGCCACTATAGTGGAGCATAGTGCTTAAAAGGTTAAAACGAATTAATAAAAGGATTCGCTAACGAGATCGAATTTGATCGTTTGCAAAATGTACTTGCAAATGAACTTGAAAACTGCACCCCCTTCTCCTCGAGAGAGAATTCCTATTTAGTTAGTAGTACGGGGAAACAGCTTGTCATCTTTCCCAATATCCCAAAGTCTCTTACGAATTTGTTAAATCTTGCAGAACTTGGAAAAACGGTATAAAGGATAAAGGAGTCTTGTGCCAGGATCTCGATATTTCTGTTTACGTGGGTCGAATGCAATTCCATGGTAGTCGATAAAATCGCGACGTGCATTGGTAGGTACGTGTTTCAAGCTCCTTCACCCAATCGTTCACCTACTGCAGAGGGAAAGAGAAAGAGAGAGTAAATCGTCTTCGTAGCCTTTTCCTTCGACACACACCCCGTTCGTTCCAAAACGACGAATTAAGAAGTTTTGGCAACGAGACATCCTGCGGTAATTCGGGATTCGATCAAGCAGCTGCCAACCCTCTCCACGTTTTTCAGCCATCCCCCTCTTTTTCTATCCTTCCTCCTCTTTCTCAGATGAATATATTGCCTGACTGATGAAAATTTCTCGACTTGGCATAACTTCGACCGGTATTCGCCCTAGTAGGCTCGAGATTACCGGAAAGTCGAAACGTTGAGAAACTCACTGACGCGAGAAAATATTCGATGCAGAACGAGAGTCTTCTATCCACGGTTTTTTTTCTTTCCTTATTTTCCCCTTTTCTATGAAAGCATAACCCGAGCGAAACGACTTTGCTATAAAGTTCAAAGCTTATTTTCTTTTCTTTTCTTTTTTTTTTCTTCCATACGAATCCAACTAATTTATCATATTTCATTTTCATTCATGGAAATTCTATAGAAGGTCGTATTCTCGTAGAGGAATATTGGAAAATCATTCAAATCTTCGTTTTTATTTACGTACCATGTTATTATTCCAATATTAGTTATGACAATAATAGTATCGGATGTTGTGGTGGTGGTGAAGCTCGTTGATCGTATAAAGTTTTTTCTTAGAACTAATATCGTATTGACAGAAATACGATTCGATTGTCTCAATAAATACTATGAAACCCGCTTAAACGTTCAATATCTACTTCTTTCTGACAAGTAGATATCGATTTAATTGAAAACCATCTCTGTGATGATAGTTCTTTATAGATTCAATCGATTTAAATATTATACTAGGAGAATCAAATAGGTTACATATATTAACTTTCGTTAAACGTTACACCATCCATTTATCAAAAAGAAAAAGAACTATATTACATATATCTCTCTAAGATAAAACTTGACGGTGCTATTTTAAAAAACAAGTTTACAGTTGTATCAAACGCGAATTTTATTATTCTATGATAAAGTACAGAGAGAAAGAAAGAACGAAATTGATTTTTTTTTGTCTTCTTTTAGATTTAGTACTGTTGTATGTTCGTTTGTTGAGTACGTGCTAAGATAACTTGATACCTTCATCGAAAGATCACACGAAAGACGAAAGTCACGCGTCGAGGAAATTGAAAAGAGCTTTTTCTTTTCGTACGTCCTTGTGGCGGACGCGATGCAGTACAAAAGGCGAGAGCACCTTGCAAGCGAACATTGTGCAAGCAGGTTCCATGAAGCACGATGCCTGAAACGTGCTGCTGTAACTCTCTGACAATCCGTATGCACCTACATCCACTAGTACATCCACTATCCTAGCTCGTTTACGTTTCTAGAGTAAAGAATGAAAGAGAGAGAGAGAGAGATAGAGAGAGAGAGAGAGAGAGAGAGAGAAAAGGACAGAAAGAGAGGCCCTAGGGTATTTCAATATTCCACTCGCATGTTATTCTCCCCTCCTTCCTTCCTCCAACTCTATTTCTTTTGCACGCGATAGTAGAATTTTGAAAAAGAAGGACCATGAGTACTCGACGAGCCAAAAAAACAAGATGAAAAAAAAAAATTAAAGCAAAAAGATAGAGAGAAATTTTTTGACGAAATATAAAGTGTTATATATGCTGGAAGAATAGAATATACTCCTAAGAGACTTTTGAAAATCATTGAAGACAATTCAGCACATTTTACAACTCATATAATACATATGGAATAACGTAACTTTTGGTTACAGGTCCTATTGTTTCCAGAAGAAGGTTGGGCCAGGAGTGCGAGCAGTTCCTATTGGACATTGACACCGTTCTGGTGGAGTCGAAGTCGGTGCAAAGTCGTTGAAGTTGCTGGAACCAGAAGGTAAATCATACATAATATATAATATATAAAAGTACAGTATATCGCATTGTTGATTTGCGATGAATTCCTCAACTATTCACAACCGATTTTAATCAATTTTCTTTTATTTTGTGTGATTTTTTTCTAACTTAGAATATAGGATAATTTTTATAGCGATTAGTTTTTTCTAGTTTTCAATAGATAGCGCTATATTGCAATTCAATTATTTCAAATGTTTTTTTTTCAGATTTACATATAACATAACTAACCTTGCTTTTTATATTTTTTTAGTGTATTATTATTTTATATATTCCATTCTAATTGTGCTATTATTTTGTATGTTTTTATAATTTACTATTAAACTAGGTGTTTCCGATTACGCGTTGCATGGCGTAATAAATATAACAAATTCATACATATATAATAAATACGAAAATAATCATACATAAATATATTTCAACATTCACGCATAGTCTTCATGATTTTGAAATCATTACTATACCTTAGCCTTTATAGTCCACTTCTCGATACAAGTTTCCTGTAATATTTTGAGTAGAAAATGATGTAGGAAGATTTATGACCATAATTTTGGGTTAGGACTAGATTTCTATAAATTTTTGAAGACAGGACAGAAACAAGGCTCACGTTGGAGCAGGGTCGTGTCCCTCAAGTAAAATTTTCTTACCAAAGAAAGTATCTAACCGTTACCCTATTATTTCGGAAACTATCCTAAAATCATTCGTGTTAGTAACCCTAAGTGCAAGGAAGCTCAAAATCAGAATAATCGAAGCGAATATTCGTGGATAATGGCTTTGATCTCAAGCAATGTTCCATTCTCAATGCCTTTCGAAACGTACGTAATATCAATGCGACGATAATGCGGACTACCAACGCTAATGGGGTCAGACGAGAAACAACATGAAACTGAGAGAGAGAAATATATATATATATATATAGAGAGAGAGAGAGAGAGAGGAAACGAGATAGACAACACATATGATGTTTCGAAGCTGATCGTATTCCTCTGGCAAACGGAAATTCGAGCTTGTACAGCTTACGTGGTTGGAATATCTATCAAGGCCGTTTCGTTCGTGCGTTAAAGTTAAACCGAAAATGATGAAAAAGAAAAAAAAAAAACAACGCCGACGCCACTGTGGCCAGTAGTTTCCCCCTTTTTTTCTTCTTCATCTTCTTCCTCTTTATTCCCCGTTCTTTTTTGCTTATTCTTTTTCTTTTTATCTACCTTCCCTATCTTCTTCTTCTTCTTCATCTTCTTCTGCTTCAACTAAGGTACCTTCCTTACCGATCCCATTAACCCTTAGAGAACTCGAGAGAACGAGCTGAATTTTCGATGGCCTTCGACCTTTATCCGTTCATTCTATTCCTTTTATTCTTTCTTGACTCAGAATGAAGCCATTTTTCTCCGTTTAACTACCATTGTCCTGAATATTTAAAGAATTCTAAAGTAGGTAGGTACTTTTTAAAGGAGATTCTTTTTACTGACTATAAAAAATAAAAAAAATAAAAGAACTTTTTTTTATTACCCCAGCATTAGTTATCGTGTATAACTATATTGTTACATTAATCACAAAATGAGTCTAGATATATCGTAACACGATTGGATCGAATAAAATGTTATGTTCATTTTAATACTTTGCATTTTGGAAACTTTTTTTTTAAACATATTTGTTAATGATTCATAAATAACATGTCATTCTATTTCAAATTTGTTTGATTCATTGATGAAAATGAAATGAAATTAAATCCCTTAAAATCTTGACTGCTTTGTTCACTATGAAGTGTAACTTATAATAGTTTATCAAACATCAACAAGATACAAAGCAGGAACCATCTCTTCTTTACTTACAGCCCACTTCTTTGATCTTTTAGGTTAGTTTTTCGAACTAATTAGAACTTCATAAAAGATTCAGCAAGCTCATTTTCAAGAAAAGTATGTATCGTTTTCATATCATATAGACTTAAACGAGATAATTAATTTTGTTAAAATATAGATATTTTAAACGTACGTTTAAATGTTTGTAATTGAACAATTTACAGTAATTATAATAGATTTCTAAAAAAAAAAAAAAACTCATAGGAAAATTATAGGAAAAATAAATTATAAATAATAGTAAGAATAAGAATAAGGAAAGATAGAGCTTTTACCAATGTGATAATTGCCATGTTGAATTGTGCATTGAACATTTCAAACATTATCAAGATATTATAATAATTATATTAATTTTAATAATTAGAACCCATTTTTTTTCATGATTATCAATCCGTAGTAACATAGAATTCTTTTTGAAATTCTTTATTCATGCAAAATTGTTTCCTTTTTTTCATACTTTAAAATATTTTTATTTTACTTGTCCATTTAATACAAATGGATAATTAATAAATTAATAAATAATATTTATAATTAAATTATAATAATAACATAATTATTATAATTAAATTATTTATTAAATTAATATAATAATAAATATAAATATAAAATATATATATATATATATATATANTATATATATATATATATATATAATTAAATTAATTAAATTATAATAATAATATTAGTAATTAATAATAAAATTTACAAATAAATTAATCTCGTATTAAAAATATTTAATATTAATTATAAAAGTAATTATTAATTAATGATWTAATTAATTAACTATAAAATAGAAATATATCTTCAAGGATATAATTAATTTATTTAATAATACCCTTTCGTCTTTCTCTATGTCTCGCGATGAGATAACGTAGAAGAAAAAAAATAGTTCAATAGGTTGAATAAGATTAGGTTTTTGGGGGAAAAGGAGGTTGGTTGGTCGGGGAGGGGGAAAAGTCGTAGCAAAAACGTATCACCTTAGGAAAGTAGGACTCGCCTAAGTTTCCTCTACGAGCGTAGATTTCCAAAGCCGTTAAGAGCTTGGGTCTTCTTTGCCAGCCGAATTGATAAGGAGCTCGCGATTTATTGCGATTCATCCCTTCTTCGATTCCAAGTCGCGAAAGTAGTCGAGGCATTAGTTGCTCCTTTGCTTCGATTGCTTCTTTTCCACCATTCCTTGCTGGATAAAGCTTTGAAGAAAATCGAACTGAACAAAGGAGAGAGAAAGAGAGAAATAGAGAGAGAGAGAGAGAGAGAGAGAGAAAGAGAATTTACTTTCTTCGAAACAGAACGTCCTTCAATGACCTACTTTTATATCTCATACTAGAAACGTCATTTTCCGATGGACATTTTCCGATGGACCAATAAGAAAAATCTTCGACTAATTGAAAATTCTATTGAAAAATGTAATATATCGGAAATGAAAAGCTTAACATTGTAAGATTTAAATTTAACCCTTTATCGGTCGTAAGTCAAATGAAAAGTGACTAACAAATAATAAAAAAAAATATTATATTAATATTATTAATGTTATTTTATTAATAATTAAACAATTATTAATTTTATACATTTGTAGTATTCCTTGCAAAAAATAAATAAACTATTCTTATAATACTGAACAGTTTAATTGCATATTTACCGAAACCACTTATAACTTATGTGAATCTTCAATATAAAAATCTGACAACTGATAACTATTATTATAAATTATCGTAATTTAATTCTTCCTTATTTATTTTTAATCAAATATTTAAACTATTTAGAAACCTATACGAGTTTATTTTTCTTCCTATTTTTCTTATATTTAAAGTGTACTTATAGGAAAATGTTTTATTTATTTTTCTGCTTTTTTAAGGAAGTATTATACTACAAATGCATGATAAAAAATATACTCTTGATCACGTACGATGTAAAGAGAAATAGAAAGAGAAGGAAAGAATGAGTGTGCTTGGGTGTTTAAAAAGGTTATCTATACTATATACCTCGTCATAAGATCTCGTTCCGTGCATATTTTCTTAGAGTTTACTTAGCACTAGATGAAGTTTGCTCGAGAGTGTAGGAGTCTTCTCCTAACATCTCTAATATGTATCTCTATTCCTAAATGAAGTTTCGTGACTCACATCTCGAACGATGATGATTCAACGAGTGACCGACCTTAGCAAATAAACGTTCCTTGCTCTCTTGAAAATCAACTTATTACTCATATATACATATATATATATATATATATATATATATATATATATATATATATATATATTAACGTCATCTATCATAGCTAGTAAAACGCATGAAGAGTAATATAGGAAGATGCTGTATGCGTACTTAGATTTGCTATTTATACATGGATTTATTTGCAAAACGACGCACCATCAAAGGTATTTCTATCAGGTGATATCCTTCTACCATTGAAGAAGAGTTTATATACAGTCTGTATATTTCTCTTTTTCTTTCTCTCTATGTTCGTTTATATCGGGTTAGGAAAATCCGCTTACATTGGGATTTCTCTAGCAACGTATGTTACTCTACATAGAAATACGTGATTAATGTTGAATAAAGAAAATGTTTACTCTTATGATATTTTCCTGGAAAACAGCATAAATCGGGGAGGAAAAATAATATATAAAGCATTCGTTATAGAAAATGCCGGATAATTTGATGTTTACGGATCAAAAGAAAAAGATATGAAGAAAAGGGAAGGTCATTTAAAAACATATCAATTTTATGTACAAGTTATCCGATTTCTTGGCTAATACATAGAAATGACTTTTACGACATACAGATTATATATCTACGTATTGTATATATAATAATATGCAGTATAGTATCTCTCTCTCTCTCTTTCTCTTTGTGCATTCCAATGAAATATATAGTAGATTCTCTTTAACAATACAACGGTAGTTGGGAATGAGACAGAGCAAGTTCGATTATTATCACGTTCCCATTATTTCATTAATTAGAATCGTTCTTGTGCACATGGCATATAGGAGACTCGTTCGCACAAAGAAACAAAGCATGGCAAACGCGATTTCGAATAAAATTTTAATTAGCGTCGATGCGAATGAACGCGCTATTACTACCGTCACACTATTCTTCCCTACCAAACAACGACCAACACCACCACCACCACCACCACCACCATCACGATCACCGTTGTTATATTTATGATTTCTCTGATTAGAAGCGACGCTGGGATGTGAAAATAGGTGAAAAGGGGGATTGGGGGAGGGGAGGGGAAAGAAGAGGGTGAATAGGGAACTGATAAAATCGACGCTTTTCGATAAATTGTTCACGGTAACGCGTCGTTGATTCAACGCAGGATTAAAATTTACCACCTCTCGCTATGTTTTTTCTTTATTTGGGTTTTTTTTTATTTGCAACGTTCGATATCGTACCTCTTTCTCTCTCTCCCCATTATCTTCTATCTAACAGCAGTGAGAGAGAAAAAGATAGAAATGCATTGATCCATCAAGAGGCTTCGATCTGTCGTGTTGCAAATCGTTATCGATGCCCAACATTAATTCTGACACATAGCCTTGGCTTTAGATCGCATTCCTGGCACACTAAATTAGGTTATTTTAAATAACGCCGCATCGATGCTTCCAATCAACGGTTACGGGATATAAACGTACATATTCCCTGTATTCCATTAGTTTTGCTACGTTATTTGACAACTCATATCTCTCTACTCGATTATTATTATTATTATTATTATTATTACTATTATTATTTATACTTTGATAGAATTTTATATGGCAGTTTGCTTTATCATATTCCCATGATTAAAAGGAAATACGAACTGCAAACAATACGACAAGCTTAATAATGAAAATATTCTTTGGTCAATATTGAAATAATTATTCGCAAACTTTATACTTGTATATAATTGCAATATCATAAAAATTCGTATGAAAGAAATATAAAAAAAAAAAAAATCTGTGATTTAAAGAAAACTGTCTAAAGAATTTGGATGAAAGAAGTCATGTGATTTGACAAATAACGAGCTAGGTATTGAAATTATTCCTTAAACAATATTGAAATAATTATTTACAAACTTTGTATTCGTACATAATTCGTACATAATTGAAATATCATAAAATCCAGATGGAAAGAAAAATATGAGAGAAAAAAAACGACCCACAATTTAAAGAAAACTGTCAAAGGGATGTCTGGTTGAAAGAAGTCACGTGATTTTTGGGTCAACGACTCGTATCGACATTTGTCTCGTTCTTTTGCCGAACACGCGTACTACGTGGGTAGTAGTCTTGTTACATCGAACTCGAGTAACATGGTAAAGAAGGAAAAGAAGGAAAAGAAGAAAAAGGGAAAAGGGAGAAATGAAGGAAGGTCGTTGGAGCGATTGTAAGAGGACGCGCCGAAACCAACCGAGGGTGCTTTTCTACAACTCGGAGAACGACGTAGGTGGAGGTGGTGGTAGTGGTGGCGGCAGCGATAAAGGTAGAGGGGGCTACGGGGTTGACGGGGTGCTTGATACGCCCCTGGAAAGGGTGACTCGAGGGGCTTATTCCGGCGGCCGCTTGAACCGGCGACGATCATTAAAAGTTTAAACGCTCTCCATTGAAGTGCGCCGGATCCGACACTCGTTTTAAAATCCACTATGGCGTCGGCTGCTTTGACTTTCTCTATATTTCTTTCTTTTTTCCTATTACTGTCTGTATGATCGTGTTCACAAAGGACAAATCCTAGATCTCTTTAGTTATATATGTCTCTTTATTTTGTATATCCTTAAATTCAACCACGTGTTGTTCAAATTTCTTCCAAATATTTTTTACATATTTTCTACAGTTTTCTTCAAATTTTTGTATTCCTGGATCAAAAAATATTTAATTGATGTTCTGAAAAGATAAATGAATTACAAAATGCAATTGGATGCAATTTGCGTAGAACGATAAAAAATGCGATTATGAGAAACAAATGAAAAGAGTCATACGCTTGTAAAAATTGGATTAACATCAGGATAGTATCATTAAATGAAAATGTTCTTTGCAGAAAGAGAAAGAGAGAAAAGAAGAGAGAAAGAGAGAGAGAGAAGAAGAGAGGCTTATGTTTTAGAGTGTTTCACACGTAATTCGCGTACGGTCACGCGAGGACACCGGTCGTTTATTCGCTTTTCTTTTCTTTTTTCTCTTTCTCTTTCTCTTTTTCTCTCTCTAYTCCCTACCCCTATCCCTATCCCTCTTTCTCTCTTTTTTCATTTCTTCCTTGGCACTTAATTTTATGCGAGCTAAAGTGGCGCTCCGGAGCACGGAATGGTTAGAGTAATGGGATTATCTTGCATACGCTTTTGCGAGAGTTCCTTTCATTAAAATTTCAAAACGAATTGCCCGCTCTACGTTACGCCTTGTAAAATTAATACTTGCGTTAACGTGTGGGAAGAAGAAGAAGAAGAAGAAGAAGAAGTAGCAGAAGAAGTAGTAGAAGAAGAAAAAGAGAAGAAGGACGTAGGAGTCTTCTTCCAATGAAGATTTCTTTTAACTCTTCATTTTATAACGATAAACTTACGGTTTGTTCCGTTTAACTACCACCCCTATAATATTTTATTGAAATGTAAGAGTA